CGTGCTTCGCTATAGCTTCGCTGTCTATCTTTTATCTCATAAATTTTTATCGAGATAATCCTTTGACATTTGTTATAAAATAGACTCTATTTTCTCTATTCTCTATTTTTACGCAAGTCACATACAGCCGTGTCGACTGATGTGCTTTCTACTACAGAGGAAGACAAACTTTTAGACATAAATTCTAATGATGTTGCTATGCACATAACTGTTGAATCTGAACCAGATCCCTTACCTACATCACAAAATACTATCTTGCCAGTAATGCTTACATTACAAGATACAATGAACTTGATTTCTCAAAATATTGAGAAGATGGGCACTGCCTTTACATCGCTGTACAAGGCCTTCCTAATAATCAGATTCCTGTTACCAGGAAACGCAAACATGATGGGATTACTAAACCACTAGGTCTAGGCCTACATATAAAGACTCGTAATATGAGTATGAGTTCATCTGATGAAATTGACAGCGATGGAAGTGAAATGAGTGTCAGTGACACTGAAGCTTTGATGCCTCCATCAAATGTTCTATCAAATAGTCAATCAAATGATGTTGATCTGTTAACTCAACTAGATTCAAAATTTAATGGAGACGAGCTGCAAATTTTCAATGAGATGGTGAAAATAATGGCTGAACAGGAAGTGTAATATTTTACGGATTAACTTTAGATTTATGGATAGGTTTATGAGAAAAGATATTTGTAAGACTAAATTACGGATTGAAAAATATTCACAAACAATTGACTGTCTATGTAAATCAAAATGAAAAGCGGCAAAAGTCTTCTTCTGATTTTCACCTTTCAATTTAACATATGCAGCCCGTACACGTAGCTTTATTATCCAAGCGAACGACTATATGCCCTTTTTTACTGTCTTATTATAGGTTGAATTTAGTGAAAAAATTTTGTCCGACCTGAAAAAGAGAATATCACGCAAAAGTAAGGATTTATAGGGTGAAGGGGGGTAATAGTAATAGTAAGGATTTATAGGGGAAGGAGGTAATAGTAAGGATTCATAGGAGGAAAGAGGGTAATAGTAAGGATTTATAGGGGGAAAGGGGTAATAGTAAGGATTTATAGGAGGAAGGGGGGTAATAGTAATGATTTATAGGGTGAAGGGGGGTAATAGTAAGGATTTATAGGGGAAGGAGGTAATAGTAGGATTTATAGGAGGAGAGAGGGTAATAGTAAGGATTTATAGGGGGAAAGGGGTAATAGTAAGGATTTATAGGAGGAAGGGGGGTAATAGTAATGATTTATAGGGTGAAGGGGGGTAATAGTAAGGATTTATAGGAGGAAGGGGGGTAATAGTAAGGATTTATAGGGTGAAGGGGGGTAATAGTAATGATTTATAGGGGAAGGAGGTAATAGTAGGATTTATAGGAGGAGAGAGGGTAATAGTAAGGATTTATAGGAGGAAGGGGGGTAATAGTAAGGATTTATAGGAGGAAGGGGGTAATAGTAAGGAATTATAGGAGGAGGGGAGATAATAGTAAGGATTTATAGGGGGAAAGGGGTAATAGTAAGGATTTATAGGAGGAAGGGGGGTAATAATAAGTATTTATAGGAGGAAGGGGGTAATAGTAAGGATTTATAGGAGGAAGGGGGGTAATAATAAGTATTTATAGGAGGAAGGGGGTAATAGTAAGGATTTATAGGAGGAAGGGGGGTAATAGTAATGATTTATAGGGTGAAGGGGGGTAATAGTAAGGATTTATAGGAGGAAGGGGGGTAATAGTAAGGATTTATAGGGGGAGGGAGGTAATAGTAAGGATTTATAGGGGGAGGGAGGTAATAGTAAGGATTTATAGGGTGAAAGGGGGTAATAGTAAGGATTTATAGGGGGGTGGGGGGGGGTAATAGTAAGGAATTATAGGGGGAAAGGGGTAATAGTAAGGATTTATAGGGGGAGGGAGGTAATAGTAAGGATTTATAGGAGGAAGGGGGGTAATAGTAATGATTTATAGGGTGAAGGGGGGTAATAGTAAGGATTTATAGGAGGAAGAGAGATAATAGTAAGGATTTATAGAGGTGAAGGGGGGTAATAGTCTGGATTTATAGGGGGAAGGGGGTAATAGTAAGCATTTATAGGGTGAAGGGGGTAATAGTAAGGATTTATAGGGGGGGGGGGG